TCTTTGTACTTGTTTTCTTTGCATGTGTGCTTACAGACTTAAAAGACAACTGAGCAAAAAGTAATGTTAATACTCTTCACTTATACAGGGTTTATAATCCAAATGGATGTGAAAGTTAGATATGCACAGAAGTACTGAGATGCAACCCCCTCTGGGGTGGAGGGCAGCAACCAACCAATGCAGAACTTGTGGCACAAGAGTGGGGCGTAAGACATTTTACAGGAAAAAAACCTTAAGGGCAAACCATACTCTTACAGGTGCTGTGGGGGCTTTAATGCTCATATACAGCAGACAAGACCAAAAGACCATGTCTCGCCAAACTAAATATTTGATTGATTTATTGGGAAAGGATGAAGGGCTGGGTCAACTCTGCTGGGCTAGGAACCTGTAATCCCAGGAAATGTGATCTGAAGCTTCAAGTTACCAATCTGATTTCTCTGATTTGGTAACTTTAAAATATGCAGTACAAATTAAATAAAAGGTATAATAATGGTCATGTTTGTATAGACTCCATCATTGCCTTTTGATATATAGCTAAATTAATGAACTTACAGATCAGGAGAAGCATGAAAAGAGGAGCTAAGAAAACAAAATGTTTAGGTCCTGATTTCTTGTGTTGTCACTTATGTGTAAAATGATACCAAATCAGAATGACAGTATTTTTACACTCTGCACTAGTGTGAATAACAGAAGATGCATGGGGTGGAAAATCAATCCCTCGGTGCCTTTTATAGCCAATGCAAGTAAACCAAATGTAAAATAGCTTCTGCCTTTGGGATGTGATTGTCCTCTCCCGTGTCTGAGAATAGAAAGCAGAGCCATCCTTACCTACTAGGTGCATTTGTATTCTCAGGTTCTTACTTTAACTATGTTAGCATATTTCTTTTTCTCACTTACACCTCTGCATACCCACAAGCTCACTGTGACACAACGAGTACCTTTATATTAAGACCCAGGATTCCTGAATCCCTTTTGTGGGTGCGTGACCTTTGCCAAGTCACTTCACCTCTCTGTGCTTTGCTTTCTCCTTCTATAAAACAGAAATAATAAATAATTATGCCTTACAAAAACAGGATAAGCACTTCAGGTGAAAAATGCTGTTTAAGTGCTAAATAGTGTATTATACAAATCGCCTATGCATTCAGAAAAGGTATTTGTCAGGGTTCCCTCCCCACTCTGAACTCTAGGGTACAGATGTGGGGACCCGCATGAAAGAACCCCTAAGCTTATTTCTATCAGCTTAGGTTAAAACTTCCCCAAGGCACAAATTCTTTGCTCTTGGATGGTACGCTGCCACCACCAAGTGATTTAACAAAGAATCAGGGAAAGGACCACTTGTAGTTCCTATTCCCCCAAAATATCCCCCTCAAGCCCTTACACCCCCTTTCCTGGGGAGGCTTGAGAATAATAGCCTAACCAATTGGTTACAAAGTGATCACAGATCCAAACCCCTGGGTCTTAAGACAATACAGAAATCAGTCAGGTTCTTAAAAGAAGGCTTTTATTTTTTAAAAAAGAAAAAATCACCTCTGTAAAATCAGGATGGAAAATAACTTTACAGGTAACAAAAGATTAAAAAAAACACAACAGAACTTCTTCTAGGCTTAGTTCAAAGTTACAAAACACAGGAATAAACTTCCCTCCAGCAAAGGAAAAATTCACAAGCAGAACAAAAGATAATCTAACATGCCTTGCCTGGCTTTTACTTACAATTTTTGTAATATGAGAGACTTTTAGGATGGTCTACAGGAGAAGGAGTTTTCTGACCTGATGCTTCTCTGCTTCCCAAGAGAACACACCAAAACAAAGTCTCCCCACCCCAAGATTTGGAAGTATCTTCTTTCCCCATTGGTCCTTTTGGTCAGGTGCCAACCAGGTTATTTGAGCTTCTTAACCCCTTACAGGTAAGGAGGAATTCTAGGCTACCCTTAGCTGTATGGTTATGACAGTATTTAATACATAAAGGCAGGGCATTGAGACCTTTTGCTCAGTCTTTGGATGCAAGATCAAGTGAGGAATCCCAGAATTATTTTGGAAGGTGTTCCTCACAACATAGTCTGCAATCCCTACACAGGAAAACTGCATGTGTGGGGGGTGGGAATTCCATTATTTGTTAAATTGTTATTTTTGGACAGGGACTGTCAGGATGTTTATACAACAGCTAGCAAATAGGGCCTTGACCTGGTCACTCTGTAGGCAAAACCACAATGTGAATGCTTAATAAGATCATTGAACAATACATTGTACCTCAGTAATAGTAAATGTTGTGATGCATTCAATTTTAAAATCTTACTCAGTTTCACTATAAACAATATGCCAGATTGTAATCATTCCATGGAAAGTACTATACAAATGCAAATATTAACAAATTGTGAAGTATTTCATGAGTGTTTACCTCATAAGAGATAGGAGGTAAGCCCATTTTACAGAGGGTGAATGGCGAGTCACAGAAATATGACTTAGAGTTGTGATTCCACAATAGACACCTCTCCCACTCTAGTGACTCTCTACTGATTTAACTGAAATCCTAAGGACAATCTCCGAGTAGGTTCCCTTGTACATTCCTCTTAACTTAATAAGATAGTATTGACAACTCAATGATCAGTAGACTTTTGGCTATAGAATAATCTGTATAGCAAGAGTGGGAATAGTTTAATCAAAACATAGAAAATGTACACTACTTATTCCTGGGATATGTTCTGTGATATTAACAAACAACAACAACAAAAAAGTTCAACATTAAGCTGGAAAAGCATTGAATGGAGATGGAGAAATTCTGGTGAGGATAGCTTTTATAAAAGAGACTCAAAGAAGGGGTGGGGACAGACATACCTGTTCAGTTGACAAATGTGAGAAGTGGAAAATCTCAACATCAACATTTATTGTCTGCTGCACTACAGTACTTACTGATTCTGACTTATCTGCTACCAACTGTAGGGCACAGAAAATTTCCCAAAGGGTACTTAGGTGTTACATTAATTTTAAGTGGAAGCATGGGTTAGGATTCAGGTGGTTACATCTTAGAATCATAGAATGTCAGGGTTGGAAGGGACTTCAGGAGGTCATCTAGTCCAACCCCCTGCTCAAAGCAGGACCGATCCCCAATTAAATCATCCCAGCCAGGGCTTTGTCAAGCCTGACCTTAAAAACTTCTAAGGAAGGAGATTATGCATTGCTATAAATGTAAAAATAATATATTTTACCAGAAGGTTATAAAATACAGTGAAAGGAAGGTGGCCTGGTGGTTGGACTTCAACTGCCAGTGCTTGGAATGTTGGGATCAGAAGGTTCCATGGCAGTTGGAATTTGGCAGTTGAGTTCAACTGCCTGTGCTGGAATATTAGAATTTGCAACCCCTTGTCCCCAGTCTGCAGTGCCAGATTGGATTTGAAAGTGAGGAAAATATCTGGATGTTTAATGAGGGGATTAATTTGACCCAGTAAGTCTAGAATAAGGAATGTAAAAGAGTGACGTAATGAAGATTTAGGGTACATCTACGTTGCACAAATCTTACTGCACTGTGTAGCATACAGACACTACACATGCCCCCCCCCCGCACTGATATAAATAGCAGTGTAGACAGTGAAGCACTACTTAAAGACAGGCCTAAACCTTGTTGGCATATACTCTACGTGGCTCTCTACACCCTTAAGCAGTACCTCCCCCATTACACTGCTGTGTTTAGCAGAGTTGTATCCTGCTGCTGGAATCTTTCCCCACTGCAGGGAAATGCACTGGGGAGTGGTTGAGGAAAGGCTCCAGAAGCTTCCCACTGCCATCTGTAGCTACACACCACAGTAGGTGTGTCTACACTGCAATTAAAATTGTGGCTGGCTGCTGCCAACTGGCTCAGGATAAGGGGCTGTTTAATTTTGAAGTAGACATTTGGACTGGGCTGAAGCCCAGTCTCTAGGACCCTGTGAGCACTGTCACCTCTAAGCTGTGCGCATATGCACACGCGCATAGATATTAAACCCCACGCAGACGGCAAAACACTGCACGCACTCTGGCTTTTTTTTTTTTTTTGCTTTGGCAGCAGCACAGAAGAAATTTTTTGCGCACATGGCCTGTTGAAAATTAGAGGGAACATTGCCTGTGAGGTTAGAGGGTCCCAAAGCCCAGGCTTGGGGAGCCCTGAACCTCTACACTTCAATTAAACAGCCCCTGAGCCTGAGCCCAGCAAGCCTCAGTCAGCTGGCACAGGCCAGCTATGGGTTTTTAACTGCAGTGTAGGCATACCAAAGTAGACAGTTTGCTCTTCACTGCATCGTGTACGCTCCCCATAGCCTATATGCTGCTGCCAGGGGTGTGCAGTATAGACATAACCTTAGGGTGATTTAAGCACTTGGTAGTAAACAAAATAAGCCATAAATAAATCAGAGGACAAGGACAACCCACCTAATTCCCCTGCCAAGCTCATCTCTGCAGCTCTAGGGCCACCACTTTCCGACAAAGCGGATATTCACCCCCGAAAGCTTATATTCCATTATGTCTGTTAGTCTATAAGGTGCCACAGGACACTTTGCCACTTTTACAGATCCAGACTAACATGGCTACCCCTCTGACACTTTCACAAGCGGCTACTGACTGGATGCCCAACTTGAGCCACTTTAAGCCTGACTTTTTTTTTTTTCTCCCAGAGCTCCCAAAACTCCACTTGAAGATGATGGAGAGACAGGTGAGCAGCAGCCCTGTTCAACTTAAAATATCTTGAACCTGACTTTCAGACAAACCAAGGAACCCAAAGTCAGTGACACACACACATATATAAACAAACTTCCTTGGGCTGGGGGGGGCTGGGGGGGGGGAGGGAGCGAGGGGCTCCAGCCCAGGTTACCGTGAGCAGAAGGAGGGAGGCCGGGGGGGACTGACGGGCAGGGGCTCCAGCCCAGGCTACCCCGAGAGGGAGGGAATAATAGAGGCGCTAGCCTGACTGGAAGGGGGACAGGGGAGGACCAGCCCCTCAGTCGGCGCTGACCTAGCTGCAAGGCCCGGCCTCTGGGAGTGGGAAGGGAACTAGTGGGACCTACATCGCCCGGCGCCGCGCCGCTCCCCTCACGCGGAGGGCGGGGCAGCCCGCATCCGGCAGGAAGGGTTAGGAGTCGGGGCTACGCCATCGAGGCGTGTGCGCGGCGCCCAGTGAGGCGAGGCGGGGCAGCGGGCGGCGCGTGGGCTCGCGGAGCTGCGGCAGGGGTCGGAGCTGGGGCCGGGGGGTGCTAGGTGCAGCTGCTGGCCTATCTCTGCAGCCGGAAGGAAAGGAAGGAAGTAGCAGCAGCAGCAGCAGCAAGAGGAGGAGGCGGCGCCTCGGGATTAGCAGCCGGGCCAGGCGCCCTCTCTTCGCTCCTCTCCTCCCCCGCTCCGCTGCGAGCCGCCGCGGCCGGAGACCATGAGCCTGAACGAGCACTCGATGCAGGCACTGTCCTGGCGGAAGCTCTACCTGAGCCGGGCCAAGCTGAAAGCCTCCAGCCGCACCTCCGCATTGCTCTCGGGGTTCGCGATGGTGAGCGCTCCCCTCCTTCCCGCCTGCTGGGCAGGCGCCGGCCGCCGCGCTCTTCTGGGGGAGCGGGGGCAGGTTACAGGTAACCCGGGGGACAGCAGTGCCGCTGGGTCGGCCCAGCGTACCGTATCCTGCAGGGCGGCCAGCTAACTCTTGGCTCTGGGGCCCCCAGTGGGTTTATATTCCCCTCTGTACCGTAAATACCGCCTGTGCCCGCCCTTTGTGTTATCAGGAGCTAAATCTATTAGGATGCGCCGTTTACTTGTTCCTGGACGACGTGTGATGTGTCTGCCTCGCCCTCTCTGCGGACCCGGTCCCCATCGCGTTCTCCTCGCATTCCCCAGATAAATCACTGGCTGGGTGTCTGGTCCCCCATTTAAATGGGACGTCTTGGCTCAGGTGCTTCCACCTCCAATGAGTTTGGGAGAATTGAACCCTGAACTGTCAGCACCAGCCTGTGGCTCGCTCCCTGGCTGAAGTTGAGCTGGACGGGGAAGAATTTAGTCTTTTGTTCATGAAGCAGGAGGTGGTTTGGAGGATGATTCAAACGGTCTAGAAGGATTTGCACAGCAAATGTTGCATATCACCATTTTTTATTTTGTGTTTTATACACTGGCTTCTTCCATAACCTACTTTCTTCCATCTTTGGTTTACTAACACTGTCCAAAATGTGTAATTATTTTGCTCCTGGGTTTTGTTATTCTGCTGGTTGGCTTACTGACTGCTTTGTCTTCCTTGCCATTGATCCAAAAGTGAGCACATCTCTGGAGTATATTATTTCCAGGTACAGTAGCTTCTCCCAGAATGGGTTCATTATAACCAGAATATAATCCATGTGTTCCAGTGCATTGAAATAATTCAGGACTTCCATTCCACTTCACTGTAAACTTGGGATTCTGCATATTGTAGACTGGGACAACATTGAACATATCTTGTATCTTACAAAAATAAAGCAGTTTTCCATAAACAATTTCTCCACAAAATCTTGCCTGCATTTTTTCAGGCTGATTTTTGAAGAAAAATGAGTTATTTACATACATGCTTTGAACTGGCCACCTTGTTCATTTTCACATGCAATGTTAGTATTAATTGCTATACCACTGCTCTTCATTATCAGGTTATGGCCCTGAAATTATATAAACAACTTCTACTCCTGTTGTTGGCAGCGGCAGTTAAGGGCACAGTGCTGAGTACAGAATCAGGCTCTTGGACAATGCATCATCACTGTACTTAACTTAGGCTGCACAACTGCAGTACTTCAGCTACACTGCTGTAGCATTGACACTTATTACCACAATGGAAAGGTTCTTTTCCATTGCTGTGTAGTAAATCCACCCCCTCGAGAGCTGGTAGGTAGGTCCTTAGAATAACTCTTCTGTCAACCTAGGATGTCTGTGCTGGGGTTTAGATCAACTAAGCAGTGTAGCTAGGGTTGACCTAGGCCTAGTCTACACCTAAAGCTTAAGGCCCCAATCCTTTGGACTTACACATGTTCTTAACTTTACACATGTGAGTAGTCCCATTGACTATACCACTGTTTCAGGACTACTAATGTGCATAAACTTAAGAGCATGAGTAAGTCCTTGGAGGCTTGAAGATCATGTATCTTTAGGTCCAGCTTATAGGCATCTTCTCCTACAATCATGTACAGTAAGTCTCCCATCCTCTAATTTGTTGCATGGATTGCTGTGCCCCATGTGGATTCCTGTTGACTTCATGGGAGTTCTGAGCTAGTGCAAAAGTCTTACCGCACACAGCAAATTGTACCAGAATCTTTCTATTTTTGATGTTTTTGCTAGAGCCCATTTCCTCTGTGTGGTTTTAAATTCATTTGGATTCACTGGATAGTATTAGAGTGCTGTCATTCAAGAAGTGGAAAAACTGCTAAATGATTTTTAAATCTGTTAAATAGCCCTAATACCTACTTCACGGCTCTCAAATAAGAAACACAACTGCATTTGCTTTATCTTATTTCATTATAAAGGAAAACTTCAGTGTAAAAATAGTACTTCTGTATCCAGTATTTTCACCACTGTTACATGTAATGCCTAAGGTTGTTAAAACTGAAAGAGACTATCTCTTTCTCTATGTTCATTTTCAGCCATTTGGTAGAATTTTGTGTATAATCAATTTTGCTGCTTCCTCAGTCAGTTTCACTGATTGTGTGGTTCTTTCACATAGCCACAGGGAATAGAAAAATATTTAAAACACGCACACTGTGAGACTCAAGGGCAGATGTAGTGTCTAGTCTACTTCCTAAATAATAAAAACCTGACTAGAACTAAATTTGACTGTCCCTTTAACTGCCCATTATGCTGGTCATACGGGTTTCCAGTTGTACTCCTGAATCTTATTTTTAGGAAAACCATGGCTTTTTAAATAGTAAGAAATTATTAGGGGTATGGAACGGCTTCCATATGAGGAGAGGTTAATAAGACTGGGACTTTTCAGCCTGGAAAAGAGATGATACAGGTCTATAAAATCATGACTGGTGTGGAGAAAGTAAATAAGGAAGAGTTATTTACTCCTTCTCATAAAACAAGAACTAGAGGTCACCAAATGAAATTAATATGCAGCAGGTTTAAAACAAACAAAATGAGTTTTTTTTTTCACATGACTTGTGGAACTCCTTGCCAGAGGATGTTGTGATGGCCAAGACTATAACCAGGTTCAAAAAATAACTAGATAAATTCATGGAGGATAGGTCCATCAGTGGCTATTAGCCAGGATGGACAGGGATGGTGTCTCTAGCCTCTGTTTGCCAAAAGCTGGGAATGGGCGACAGGGGATGGATCACTTGATGATTATCTGTTCTGTTCATTCCCTCTGGGGCACCTGGTATTGGCCACTGTCAGAAGACAGGATGTGGGGCTAGATAGACCTTTGGTCTGACCCAGTATGGTTGTTCTTATGTAAGAATCTATATCATCAATATTTTTTTCTCTTCTGAGGTGTATGCATGCATTTTATATATGTAATAAAAAATCCTGACCCTCAAAAGTTCTGGGGATGAGCTCCTCGGTAACACGGGAGATTTCTGTGGCCTGCTGGACTCCATTACAAACCATTTTTAACGCTGCAAAAGTTGTTTAATTGTGGAGGTTTTCTGTGTATATTTTTAGAAATGTCTTCTTTAATTTTTCTTCAGCACACTGTTTTGAAACAGCATTCTCGCTTTCAGTGCCTTTTTTTTTTTTTTTTTTTTTTTTAATTAGAATGTGTTCTTTTGGGCTGGAAACCTTCAACTATCCTTAATTGGTGTAGGAACCAGACCTCTAAAACCCTGTATTTAGAAGTGTGTTGCATTTTCCAACACTGCTGAGAAAAGGGCAGACCATCTGCCTTTGACATGAGTACTATATTAGATTGTAAACCATGAAATTGCTTTTATTTCAAATAATAACATAACTCAAATTTGATATCAAAACAGAACAAAGTGACTGGTGTAAAACAACCTCCTGACGGTCAAATAAATGTCACTGTCATACTTCAATGGCTAAAAACAGAATGCAACTCTTTAGTGGCATTGGTAGACAGGCATCCATTTGACTGACAGGCAACTGTGCTCAGAATAGCAGTTAGTTCTCCATTGAGTACCATGCATCAGGCTGGTAGTTAAGCACAATTACACTGCAGTGTATTCTACTAAACACCCATTCTGATGAGACCGAGTAGTTTATCGTGGCAATTTCCTGCATCCATATTTTATTTTAAAAGTGGTAGGTGATAATGAGAAAAAGAGCTTTACTTTCTATTGTCTTCTAGTTTGTATGTTGTTAAAATTTAAGGGATTTAATATTGCAGATTAAATGACTTTTTTTAGAGCTGAAAGAAAATCTGTGTTAATTAACACCAATACTACTTGTTTTCATCATTAGCTCACTAGCACAGTTCTACTTTTATCCATTAATTGCTGTATTAATTTAACTATATGCAGTGAATGTAATTATATACAATATGGACTACTAAAAGTGACTCTTGGATATAAAGGGGTGATGGCCTTAAGTCTCATTCCTTCTCTGACAATGACTTCTTTGACAGTGTATGATGTCCTGGAGTTGCAGACTACTGGTTTTAGTTACCGTAGTAACTAGTATCAGTGGTAACTCTAGGGCAAACTCACTTGTGAATTAGCAGAGTCCAGTTACTCAGTAGTGGGAAATGTTGAATCTGAATAGCCATTGCATTTTAACTTTTGGGAAGTTGCCCCTCTCAAAATCTAGTAAGTTGCCATTGGGAATTAACCTTTGACTCCATTGCTTTGCTGCTACAGGGTTTGTTTATATCGTGACATAATGTGCCTCTACGAGTGTATGATTTCTAAAGCGTACTACAGTGTTGCATGCTGATAGATCCATGTAGACCCTGCTGGTGCATTTTAACATAGTGCTGTTTGAAAAAGTACAATGTTGAAGTGTACTAGGGAACCTTTAGTGCACACCAGCCAGGTCTATGTGGACCAATTAATGCATAACAATTTAGCATGCTTTAGATATCACACCCCTGCAAAGCACATAACCCCACCATGTAAACAATCCCATAGAGTAGTCCTCTAATTGGGACACCCTAATCTCCCTATTAAGAGAAAAGGCCACTTTAAAAAGAAAGGGGGGAGAGAGAGAAATACAAATGCTTCTCACTGCATTTAATCTTCTAATCCAGGGGTCAGCACTCTTCGGCACGCAGCCCATCAGGGTAATCCGCTGGCGGACCGTGAGACATTTTGTTTTTGTTGCCTGTCCGCAGGCACAGCGCCCCGCAGCTCCCTGTGGCTGTGGTTCACTTTTCCCAGGCTAAAGTGTAGGGGCTAAACTTTGCCTTCATTTACGTCCATGCAACCCCACTAGCTCCAGTACGGTTGCACAGGTATAAGTGCAGAGACAATTCGGCCTCCAGCATTAGACTGTTACACCACTAAAGCACTTTTTAACCATGGATCTGTTTTTTTTTTAAAAAGCAGTTAAGTATAATTACCTCCACTTTTGGAGTGGAGGGAAATGGGC